TTTTTTTTGCTAATTAGAGTTGTTACAGGGCTGAAAATGACTCCTAGGTTACAATCCAACCGCTAAGAATTGCGACTTCTGGGCGAATCCTCACACTCAAACGGGACACCTATCTTGTGGATCACTGAAGATCTTTCTTCTCTTTTCTCTCATTTGTATTGAATCTCCTAGCAATTATCGCTTTTCATATAAATGTTTTCAATGGAATCAATAAATGTTATGATCCCTTTAAAGACAAGTTTGTGGAACTCGTCCGCCTAGGTATTAAGCTTAGCTTTCCAATGAACGCTTCGCACAATGATCTGAACAGTAATACAAAGGCCCAGTTCACGACAAATCAGGGGTATTTAGTTTTAGACGAATAACGCAGGTCCGTGAAGAAAAAGCAGAAATGGACATATTTAGAGCAATTTAAGGCTTCAAAAAAGTGAATGTTGGACGTGAATGCGGCGATAAGTGTGCACGGAAGGGATTTTAGACGAGTTGTCCGAGTTTGTGTGCCATCGCGTACAGCTGATTACAGTAAGCTGTTTGAGCGCAACGTGTTCGTCTCAGTGCAAATGGTGCCACCTCTACAATGGAGTGAGAACTCATCCGCCAGTGCGTCAGTTCCGGTTTTAAAGACTTTATTATGCTCTGTCTAGTTTTCCTTTGAATTTTTTTAGACTAGACTTAGATTCGAAAAATTCCCATCGGTGATTACTGCACTCCTCTAGCGAATTGAACTATTTTCCATCTGAAAATTTTGCAGAAACCTAAACAAGTGGTAGTTTGACGGTGCTACGCTTGGACTGTACAAGGGTGCGGTAGAACATCCCAGCGTAGCCATATCAATTTTTGACGAGCGGCCAAAAAAATGTGGGCTTTGGAATTACCCTCTCGGAGAACAACGCCCTTACTATTGGCTAATTTTGGGTGCTTCTGATCTATCGTTGCCTTCGAACTGTCTAGCAGGGTGCAGTACACTCGCGATGGTATCGTTCGATGCTGCGGCAACGACTCATAAATACTTCCCTTTCAATTTCACCTGTAACACAGCATGATCTTTCGCTCTCTGTTTGTTGAAGTAGTTTGTGGCGGCTCACTGGAAGGAATATACGATCGTTTCCGCTCCACTTTGTTGTACACGACCCACATTCTGTGTCCTTTTTTCATCTGTCTCAGAAACAGCTCATTTTTGTTTCATTTGAGCAACGACTCGTATACGGAGGCGCGGTCCGTTGCATTGCCCTTGCTCAGTTCGTGAGGTACCCAAACGTCAAGGTGCTTAACAAAATCAAATCGCAACACATGGTACTGGTCATGGATGTTTGATCTCGAAACGTTGAGTCTTCCTCCTACTTCAGGAGTAGTGATGTGCCGATTCGAATC